GTTAATGAGGGCTAATAAGTCAGCATTATCTACTGCAATCTTTATCTGTCTTTGTTGGCCGTATTTTGCGTCTGAACTTGCCTATAATAAAGTACACTTGTATTAGGTAGAGAAGAAGAAGGAGTTTCGACCACTGCTGAAAAGACAGGCCTATTGAAGCCTGCGCCTCGAAAGAGAAGTCAGTCAATCGATTTATCGATCCGGCGCCGCCCTGCGCAAGCATCTGCGGACTGATGCCACTGGTGGTTAATTGGGTCCTGCCTCCTAGCTGTTGCTTGTCTTTCCGTGACTCCTTTTCTCTCTGATAGTGAAAATAAAACTATGATTCCAGTGATCGAAACACCTTCTCCTTCTCTATCTACACACATACCTGGGACGCGAACATTTGCCTCAACAATTGCATTACTTGTACCTCCATCTACCTACATCCACTGTGTTTCGATTACAAAAACGAGTGTAGCGGTGGGTGTTGGAGTTCTGATTGGCAGGGTTGAACATTTCATCTAAGCGTGCTAGGCACCATCGGCACCCCTCCCCCACTTCTCGCGTTTCTGAATTTGGTGAAGAGGGCACTGTGGGTTTTGCCTTTGATAAATGTCATATGAACTACCCTAAAAATAGTAGAGTGTGATCCGACTACGGAAATTTACCAAACTACGACTTTGAGCACTAACTGGAATTCAGTGCCACGTTCATATAAATAGCCGTTAAGCTCCTGCAAATTCTAAAGTACAATGGAACATCAGTTAAGGAGTTAACTTCGTTCTGGCACCGAGCTCTTCATGTGAAACACTCGTCTTGCGAAACGTTGCCAATCAAACTGCTACAGTTCTGCTGGACAGATGACTTGGGGGGTAGGACAATTCGAGTTTCTGTCGGGTGCCCATGTGTGGCTCACAATTTTTTTTAACATTTAATTGCTATACACATCGAGGTTTATTGTTAGAGCCGTAATGCCTTCGTCCGATCTGTCATCCTCCGATCCTAGACCGACGATTATTCGGATTTCACTTTGGGTTTAATTGGCTTGGAATCCAGCTTACAAATACGCCCCGTCGTCTGCTATAGCTGGTTCTGAACACAGTGCGGGATTGATTGCCGCCGATCTGACCTAGTTAGAGGGTGGGCTGCTGGAATGTCCTTCTCTCTTGAACTTGGTGAATACAGCCCTCACAAGCGCTCTCGGCAAGACTTGATCAACAGTTGGGAGGTGTGGCAATTTAGGTGGCTGCCTCTGGCTCATTTTCCGCCCTCAGCCAGACGTGAGCCAACCCAATTGCAGTACCAATCGCATCTGAGGTGAACGTGGCTGGCTGATGCCGGCAGATGAACCAAATGAGCGTTCCGGTCCCCGTGTCTTTTCAGGCAATGCGATTATTCTTCCCTGGTAACGGTTTACGAATGCAGTGAGACTTCGGTTAGCGAGTTAAATCCGTTTCGGCACCGAGTTCGTCATGGTAAACGCTTGTCTTGCCAAAAGTAGCCAAGCAAACTGCACCAGTTTTCTGATTGGCTGCAGGTGACCAAGGACACACTCCCTGGATGCAAGAGCCAATGGCGGACACACACACACATTGACAACTCGTTAAATGAGCGGAAACTCGTCAATCTAAACAAATTTTCCGCTAGTGGATCGCTCGTTACCTGAAATGCTCGTTACCCGAGGATCAACTGTAGTGATATTTAAAAGTGTTCGGACGCCGTGCGCCCCACGATGAGTCAACGCACTCAACGGAGTCGCGAGAGCCGCTTGCCGTGAGCCAGTCTTGTGTGCTCAATCCTGATTGGCCCCTTTGTCGGACAATGTCTCTCGCGTTCCCTTTAAAGTGCATGCACGCTGTGTCTGACTCGACTTTGCGCTTGCTTGCACTGACGCGCTGTACCGTGCTTTTGTCCGAGTACACTCTCTGTCTGGCAGGCTGGTTTTCTCACTGTCTCTCTACTAAGGGCTCTTGTGGTACCAGTTCGTGCTGATTAGAAGTACCAAGACGGGTCATAACAAAAAGGAAACTACAAGTTTGGTTTTTGCGGCGAGAGGGAGGTAGGGTCTCCTCTATTAACAATCTTAAAGGGACTGGATCTACGCCATGATGGGCTGCTTTTTATGGACGCAAAAAAGCTATAAGTTAATGCAACTAACAGGAAATGAGGTGAAGGACTTACAGCAGCTGGACTTTAGCGTGGCCCATTTTCTTGCGGTCTCTTTCGTAAGTGATGGTCGGATTCGTTGATGCGGGGATCCTTACAGCGAAGGGGATCGCATGTGTGCCGGGTTTAAGGTTTATGGGTCCATTAAAGGGCTTTAAGTTTTCATCGCCTTCATGCAGGTCGACAGGACAATTCAGACGTTCATACAGATCACTTCCGCTGAAGTCACGGGTTAGCGCATTGTAATTGTTTTGATTCCTTGTACCCGACGATCCGCTTGTTACCACTTCCTTTGTAAATGTGTTCGTTGGCTACAAACATGAGGCAAGAACAGGGTTATTATCAGTACTGTAAATGGTTCCTCGGTTAATGTGATTAGATAATCTTTGCTTGTTATTCTGTCTAAGAGAGTTGGAAATAATAAAAAACAGTCCAATTTGAACTATATGCGCCTAGTCGTGAATACTTTTCATGTACCGCACATGTAGCCCCGAGCTAAATGAACAGAAGGCGTTATAACAGAAACAATCGGTCGAGGAAAAGGCATACAACAGACATCCTACTCTGTTATGAGTTAGAATAATGCTGGTCTCTGCATCGTAACGGTTTGTTTTTAGTTTTCCGAGCTTTCAAAAGACTACTACAATTATTACCACCACTATTACTACTAATATAACTACACTCAATACCTAGACCATTTCCATGCCGCTGTATTACGCTGTCCCAAATAACCAATTAAAGTGTTTGCGAATATTCTCGAATAACATGAGTGAAATCATATTTCCTTTTAGCTTTTCGCTCCTCTTATACTACGAGCCATAGCTCACAGGAAGAAAACCACGCAGTGGAGTGGAAATGTGTTGTTTTTGCATATTTTCAGGATAACCCATAAAGCAAATTGCCAGTGTTTCAAAGAAATACCTTCAGGAAACACCGTATTGTCTTACTATATCTGTAAAATATAAACGTTTCTCACTGAATGTCCCCTTTCAGTATCCACGACGTAAAACAGTGATGCACGATAAACTACCAGATGTAAACTTACAACTTCCGGCTGACTTGTTTCCTTTTTATGGGTGATCGTCTTCAACATTGTACCATTGCCTTTAATTTTGATACGGTTGACTCTCATCGAGTCCTTTGCATCGAAATACACGATGCCGTAGAGAATTTTGTCGGGTATCACGCGACCATTGAATAATTTGAGAGTGAGCTGGTGTAGGTATTGGTTGGCCACACCAAAGTTTTCTACCATGGTGGCCTCATTCGCACCATAGCCTATGTCATAGCAGGAAAATCGGCCTTCTGCTGGTGTTGAATCATTTGCTAGAAGATAAAAATAGCTTGTGTTGAGTCATTTGGAAACCTTACTGTCTGACTGTTTAAGGTTCATGCAAAGGCTGTTTTCATTTAAACCCAGGCAAACAATAACAAATATATGCACATATCGTGTAACTTAATAAGGAAAAAAATCCTTTTCGTCATATTTTTAAGGTGATTTATGTGTGGGAGCCTGCCGCGCCGACTCATGTGGCCTTTGTTCGCCAAACTGCGCAGACTCACTGTCTTCTCACGCCCACTAAACTTCCACGTTCTTTATCTGTCAACCGCTGCGAGAGGCCCGCGATCTTCTGCTCGCTGCTCAATGCTCGTTTGCTCGCTGCTCAATGCGCACATTAGTTCCAACCAACTGATGCGCGCCTGTCCACCTGACTGGCCCACTAAGAACATTCGACAGTTAAGGCTTCACAACAGCGAACGCTATTTCGCGGACACATCTGGCAAGCGCACGCAGCTAGCAGCTGACAGCCTTTGTACCGTCTCTTTCTGACAGTAAAAATTGGTCCACCAAAACTATCTTGCTTGACTTTGGATTTGGGGAACCTTTGGCCTGCCGTCAAAACAACCTATGCAATACGCTCTCCTGCATTAATATCTATCTTCAAAGATACATCAAGGGAAATTCCAACTGAACCTCTGTATATGATCAAGCTAGTCGTCCCAGATCAGTAAAAGGGAGAAAGCGCACCACTGAACCTGCTTATTATAGAAGCCTTGAGCATTTCAGCACAAACGCAGAATAAAGTTTCCTTCTGCCATTTTAGATGTACATTTTTTAAAAGCAGGGAGCGTCCCCATTTCCTTCTAGTGGTTTTCTATTTATCCTTGAGCTGTTACTTTCGAGCAAATGTTTGGCTCCATAAAAAAACTCTTCCTGCACATAAAGCGTTCCCAGTAATCTGTAAATGGCTCACATTGAACGATTTGCGAGCAAGAACGATGGAGTTGAGGCTAGACGGCTAAAGGAAGTCGTACAAAGTAGTTGCGAATAAAATTCGTTTTCATCCCTCCAGCATATTGGGGAAGGGATCACGATTAAGGAACAAAGTGAACGGTACGACACATTCATTACTTTTGAATGGAATAATGTTCAGTCAACTTAAAAATCATTGAAAGAAAACGAAAAGCTCATGGATGGTGCTTGTGCATTAAAATATAAGTTTTACGTGTTATGTCGTTCACAGTGAAAACGCACTGAGGTGGCATTACATTTAGCCTATTTTATGAAGTTTTAGTAAACATTACGGAAAGTGTAAACTATTTTTGCCCAAAACTAATGGCAATTGAAATAAACCCGGAAGCCGAAATACTGAGCTCTAGGAGAATTGCCAAGCAAACTCAAAAAACGTCATTAACATAACACCCCAACGGAATTTTGCCTTGTGGTTTCTCTTTTGTTATAACTTTTTGTATGGCAGAAACAAGCAGTCAAAAAATGCTCAAAGTAAAAAACTTTGAAGAAAAGAGTACTTCTGACCTTTTGAAGCTGAGTAATCCATAACAATGACATTTATCACATATTTTAATAACAGCAACACATATTGCAGCCAACGTTTACTGCGGTGGTCTTAAAAATAAGTTTATGTAGGTTAAAACACTTATTAAAACCTACCACCTGACCCGAACGTTTCGTTATAGGCATACGATGGTCCTGCGCTTTGACCCCATTGGGAGGGTGCTATCAAAATGGGCAGATAATAATAAAACATGAATAAGTTAAATCGAATTTTGTAACACTCAGAATACTAACCTTTTCTACAGTATCATACACAAGCATACAGCAAGCAAATAAATGGATTATAGAACTTTATAAATGTGCATAGCACAGAAACAAAGCCCCCGATACACTGGAGAAGGATAAGGATGAAAACCTTAAAGTTACGTGGGACATTTCTCGAACAGCCGGTGATATGCAGCTTCATGAGAGCCTTGGATTTAATCAAGTTCCTCAAGGGGCCTCAAGACAATACACCTTCCATGCGTGGTTGTCTACAAGCCCCCCATGTAGAAATCTTCATAACTCGTCTTGCGTAAGGAAACGCCACCTCGAATTGCACACTGGACCAGCAGAAAGCGTAGTTAATTTAGTGGAATTTGAATTTAGGAACCCAGTTAGGCGCGGTGACGCAGTTGGTTCATCTGACCCACTTTTGAAAAAAAAACGCAGTGGCCCCGGGGGAATTTGAGCCCATGAATAGCGTGCTAGACCTTGCCTAGTTGTAGCAGATCGGCCATACCACCCATTAGTTTACCAAAGATGCTTAGTACATTCCGCGTTTTATTTCTGCCAGCAGCCACGCATGTGGTAGCCCATAATAACACAAAAACGTTTTCTCCTTACACTGGAAAAAGCTCTTTTGTTCTTCAGGCATTAGAAGTCTAGCTAGCCAGCATTCCACATGATTATATGGAAATTGAAGCCAATGCTGTCGTTGATGATAATAATGGGGAGGGGGCGTGCTCGAGTAATTCATGAAATTCAGGTCGAGTAGTATAAAACTATGGCTGATGCAGCATGCCCAAATTACAATATGTTGCGAAAATGTTGCTGATTTAATCTTTGAAACATTCGTCAAGTGTTGAATTCCTTTTCGATCAAAGTGACGTTGAGCTCTACATAGGACATATGCGTAGGCTCCCCCACCCTGTGCCGATGACGTATCAGTGACCTGGCAA